AATAGTAATCCCTTACTTTACTCGTTACTTGAAAAAAGTAATCAGATTACAGTAACTGCCCATCTCTGCTCCTGACTACAGTAGTCGTAATGCTGCGACAGTCCATCAAGCAGTGCGGCTTCGTAGCTTAGCAAAGTTGACTAAGATCTTTTTGACAGATTGCTGAGCGCTGTGTAGCAGATAACATCGGTTCGAGGTCAGTAAGCACAACCAGGATTCATACATAAGGCCGATGTTGATTTTAAGTGCGCCTTATAGTGCAGAAAATACTGTAAGCCTAAAATAAGGAAGCCTGTATGTAAGATATTTCAGTGGCATGAACAATTTTTTCTTTTAAAATGCCAATCACATGTTATATTAAAAAAACAGACGCTTTTTAAAATAATGGCTCCATGTGATATCTATATCAACTAAGCTTTTAGCTATCAACCGTGTTGAACACGTGAAGGGGGAGCCTTTAACCCAGATAAGAAAGCAGCGTGTAGTGATGAGGAAGAAACAGACCTGGGGAAAAGGCAGGAAAAACCAAAAAGACAACTGTAAGATCGATGGTTTAAGTCCGCTTTCATATTTTTGGAAAATGGACAGAGGCAATGGGCCATCTGCAGTGAAGAGAGGAGTGAGTATCTCAGACACAAGCAGCACAGCGAATGTGTGGGAATGAAAGCACAAAGTTGTTTAAAATGCTTTGAGTGCTCAGCTAGAGCAGAAAGGCGTTTACCAGTCCGTTTAGCTGAAGCTCCTCAGCCCTGAAGGCGCTTCAGACATCTTGCTGACAGTCAGAAGAGCATAAACGAAAGTGTGGTGAACGTTAAGAGGCCAGCCTGTGAGCTAAATGTTATTTATACTGTAAGGTAAAACTACAATGATACAATACTAAATCACCTGTTCTGTTTGCCAGGTACTGTACTTGGACACCAGGCTTGTAACAACCCCCCAGCCTAAGCCTCAGCATTACCACCTCTGCAGTGTAGACCCGTCTATTATGGAGATGCAGAGGACCTACCCTGACCTGGCCATCAGGGGCCGGCCCCTGCTTCCAGACAAGCCCCACAAAGTCTGCAGCAGCACTAAAGCTGTGAGTGCCGCTGACCTGCCCAAGACAGATTGCAGCGAGAATCCCTGCACTGCTGTTGCACCTGTGCTCACTACCAACGACGACAGCAAAGCTCAGCAAAGTTTGGACGGCAGTCGGAGAGGCAGGAACAGTGGAGGGGCAAGCGCTCCAGGGGACACCGGCAGCGACACCCACAGAAGCAGAGTGGATGATGAGCTCAGTGGCCCCAAGGCCATTTCCCTCCACATCACACTCAGAGCAGGAGCCACAGCACAGCCTCCAACACAGCACGACACTGGTAACACACACTCACACACTCAGAATACAACAAAATTTGTCATTTGCTCCAAGGGTGCCCTAACAGCCTCCAGCACTTAACTGACACACGCTGATTTTCACAGGGACACAAGACGAGAGTCCGGTCAAGTCAGAGCTTTCCTCTCTCAGCTCCGTGGATGAGGAGGAGCAGGAGCTGAGAGGGTTGGTGGAGTGGATGGGACAAGTGCAGGAAAATGAACATGAGACAACAAGAAAAGAGGGGGACAACACAAACCAAGACAGGAGGAAACAAATAAGAAAAGCAAACACAGAAACAAAGAAGAGAAGCCTCAGGAAGCCAGTGGTGGGAAAAGCTTCAGCGCTGAGTCATGACGACGGCACACACACGAGCCCGCAAAAGTGTGACGCGACAGTAACGAACCAGCAGCCCGCCGAGTGTCAGCCCTCGCCTCCAGCCGACAGTACGGCAGACACCCAGAGGCAGCGGGAAGGAGATCCAGGCGGTTCTGGAGACGAGGACGCTGGCCCAGCAGAGGAGGAGCAGGTGGCGCAGAGCTTTGTTATAGTGGAACAATGCAGAGACTGAAGAGCAGGTGCAAACAAGCTGAGCCGAGGTGTAAGTGTGCTGTGGGAGTGTGAGTGTTCTTCCTTCTCTCACTTTGACCCTGTTCTGCTGTCCGGCTGCAGAGCGCCACACAGATCCAGTCACGTTCATTTGTCAAGATGACGCTTTCATAGTTTCAGTGTATTTGGGCAGCTTTATGCTGGATGCCCTTCCTGACACAACCTCCAAGGCAGTTTTGTCTTCAGCTGGAATTGAACCTGCGACATTTTGATTTGCAAGGGAACGTGTTAACCGCTAAATCATCGGAGGCACTCTGAAGAGCAAAACGTGCGTTACTGCTAGGTGGTTGAGCTAATTAACCAGTATGTTGTGCTATTTACAGCAGCCTCATAATTTGACCCCTCCTCACGAACGGCAGCTTTCTGTCTCTTTCCAACGATGGAAGTATGTTTACAATGATCAAAGATCTTCTTTCCTGCAGATAAAGCACAGATAGTCTCATCATCATTTTTTTATAAAATGTTAAATTGTGATTGTTGTGCCTAAATGACCAAAATCAAAGCTGTATACCTTTGGTATATTATTAAAGCCATATAATGTAATGTAAACTTCTTGAATGCATCAATAAATAATCATGTTTTATTTAAAATAAATGAATAAATTAAAAGAAAATGAAGAGAGCTCATGAGTGGGACCCATTTTCGGCTCTGGTTGTGACCAGCATGCAGCATTTCCTGTATATGTATTTGTGCTGTTGTTTGTGAAAGCAGACTCATTCACCGCTGTCAGACTAATGCAGAGGTAGATGCTTTGCATGTAGATGCTGTTTGTGTGTGAAGGTCCTCAGTCAGTCGCAGCATCAGTGCAGCCAGGAATGCCCAGACCTCTACATCGGAGAGACCAAACAGCCACTTCACAAGCGCATGGCACAACACAGAAGAGCCACCTCCACAGGACAAGACTCAGCAGTCCATCTGCATCTTAAAGATAAAGGTCACTCTTTCAAGGATGCCAACGTTCACATTTTGGACAGAGAGGACAGATGGTTTGAAAGAGGAGTGAAAGAAGCATCTATGTCCACTGTGAGCGACCATCTATGAACAGAGGCGGGGCTTACGACATCAACTGTCTGCCATCTATAATCCAGATCCTTCCCAGACGCCTTAACGCCCACTCACATCCTGGGACCTCTGACCTCAGGAAATCACATGATCGGGTGGGGCCAGGTTTCACAATGAGCTCACCCGAAACTCTGGCTGATTGTGACCCACACCCAGTTTCACACCTTGGCTTGTGTGATTAGACCCTTTGTAAAGCTCAGACATGTATATGCTACCTAAACTAAACTTAATTAAGTAATAAATACATTAACTAGTTGTTAGTGTCACTCTGGGATCTAATCATAGAGATGCTGCACAAATGGAAGTAAGCAGTCCTACATATCTGTTTAATATGTGCACTGGAGGTCCAAAATGACTCAGGCTCCTAACAGGAATATGTGACTTCACTATTACAAAGTTGTGACCCAGTATTTTCCTGAAACTGAACATACAACTGAGAAAAATCCTGAATCAGGAGCTGCATCGTTCCCAAGGGCAGCAATGGTGGTAAACTGTAAAGCATATGTTCACACAGGCTTTGATTAAAACTTGCTGTTGTTCACCCTCAGCATCGCAGGTTCATTGATGGAAACATCTGTACATTCATTGACTGGTGAAAGTTCTTCATTGTGTTTGGTTTGTTCGGCAGCATCAGGAAAGCTGATGTTCACTGTTCAAAAACGAACTGTTGTGAACAGAGTTGCTTATAGATCTTTTTAAAAAGTGGCGATGAATAGATTAGTCTGCTGGTGTTCCTTTAGCTGTGTTGCCTCATTTACTAAAGACCTGTCTGGACTACGTTCACAAATACTGCTCAGCCACAGTTAAACATGTCTGCTTGAAGAATGAAGCAAAGCTTTTACATTTGAAGACACATTTTTGAAAGTTGTTTTGATGCAAGCATGCATGAGCTTAAGGCTCATCTGCAGAACTGCTCCAGTATCCTAGAGTTAGGCAGGAAAAACTGCAAATGATGCAAAACAGTGCAGCTAATAAATGTAAATTTTTTTTCTCTTCTGCCAGTTTTTTGTTATTACCTTTTTGCGTGACAGCAACATAATTTTATTTTATTTTATTTTATTATGTTTTTTTTCTGCCTGTCCCGTTTGGCTCTTTTGCATCAGAATTGTTGTCTAAAGGCAAAGAAAGAT